GAGAGAGAGAGAGAATCGTGAACGCGACGACCACGGACGAGACGAACGTAAGAAAATGAAAGATGGTCGGGATAGTCTGATCAAAGCAAGTCTCCTCGGCCTGTTTCCACCGTCGTGTCGTCCACGCTATTCCACCGACCAAGCACTTCATTTAGCGCTTCTCCATGTTTCATAGAGAGAACTAGTTATACACCGCAGCATCGTTGGTGCCCCTCATTTGCAGCTGCATTCAGCTGGGCTTGGCTCGGCTCTCTCCGCGGCATAGAGGAGAACAGGCCCACTCTCTCTTTCTCTCGTCTCGAGGGTCAGAAGTGCTAATGAGACAGACACGAGATGATGGGGTGGAAAATGGAATCGAGTCTCTTTGGAACGTTTCTTTTTAACCCAGTCCCCCCCCTCCCCCCTCCTTCTACCTCTATTCCCGCGGATGGAAATAGTTCCGTGATACGCTCGCGTGATACGCTTTAGAAAACTGGGCCATGTTTTGTGCGTCGAACCTCGAAATCCCCCAAGATCGTAATAAATTTACGCGGGAGAGGAGGAGAAAAGGAGAGATGAATGAATAAGGGAGAGGAAGAGGCAGGAAAGTTTTTAATTATTCCACGCGGCGTGGCTCGAATCGAACCAAGTTTCGCGAGAGTTTATTTCTCAATCCTGGAAGATTGTTTCGTTCCGTGATTGCGAGGGAAAAAGTTTAGCCAAGTTTAAGTTCTAAACTCCCTCGATGCTCTTCCTTTCTTGATTCAACGCACTTGGAAAAGAGCCGTTTAATTTTTCATACGCGCACTTTCAACGTTCGTGTGTTTTCTTGCAATAAAACTTTCAACGTTTTATCACGTGCCGCGTACTTATTTATCCACATATATGCGCATATAATGATGCAAGAAATTATACACCTGGACACTCCGCCCTGATTTATCCGTTTAGCTTTCTACTCGATATGCAAATCGGTTTTACAACACGGGCTCGTTTACAGCACGAGTTTACGAGTCGGCGCGCGAACGAGTTCTTTCGAAAACTTTTTCGTGTATAATAATATTCGTTTTCGAGCAAACACATTCAGGTTCATCGACCATTTACGAAACATCGGATCGCCCATATTATTTACATACACGCGAAGGTATATTGAAACGTTCCGCGCATAATTCGCATACGCCGACACCGGCGTATGTTTTCCTTCTCTCCCTCCCCTTTCTTTCCCTTCCCTTCCCAGGTATCGAGCGCGTCTTTAATCGTCATCTTTACGCGTGTTCCGCTATCAATCACGAGCGTGTTTATCAAAGGCAACCCTTCACTTATCTCGATCGCGTATACTCAACCGGGCACACGCTTTATAATCGCGGTATACACCTATAATCATGCAAATAACTGGCCGCTTATTAAAATGCAACTATATTACTGTATACCGACCACGATAATCGTGCCAACTTAATCGGGACTTTCCGGCACGGCTTGTCGTACGGTATACAGCCAATTATCGATCATTTTTCAATGCCAGAACGCAAAAGCGACGAGGTGTGCGGCTTTTAAACGATTGATTATCGCTCCTCCGTACTAATATATAGATAGTGGCTAACAACGCGAAAAATAGGAATCGCATTGTGAACGGATTCGCGAATTAAACCGCGTCAAAATGTTAAATATTTATAATTTGTAATTGATATTTATCTCTATTGAGAAATCTTGAGAAATATTCTCAAGAATCGATTTCCAGAGACTGAAACGAATAAAAATTGGTCAAATTGTTATTAGGCAAGAAATTTTGCCTGTTCGAGGCACAAACAGATGTTCCACCTCTTTACCACGATACGATGGAATATATTTCAACTTGTGGTTTAAATTAAAATTAGAGATGATTGAAAAATTCGAAAAATTCTATCACGCGTAGCATTTTATTAAGATAAAATTCTTTTTCTTTTTTTTTTTTTTCGTTAGCGCGATTATCTTTTTATTCTGAAAATTTGCGTCGCAAAATGTTAAATTTGCATTAGATAAA